ACAAATTCACTCTTGACAGCCTTGCAACAGGATACAGTGTGCTACATGTTTCCTGTCATTTGCCCCTGTTTTCCTGTACCCTAAACCCTAAACCCTAAACCCTAAACCCTAAACCCTAAACCTTGCCTGGAGATCAACGAGGCCTTCCTTCCAGACCTTCCGGCGGCATCTCTTCGAGGAAGTGGGATTTTAAGGTTTAGGGTTTAGGGTTTAGGGTTTGGGGTTTAGGGTTTAGGATTTTAAGGGTTTTGGAGCCTACTTGGAGGTTCATGGGTAGTTTTAAGTGGAGTTCCTTTAAGGGTTCCTCCAAAGGGTTCTATAGGGTTTAGGGTCTAGGGTTCATAGGTAGTCATAAGTGAGGTTATAAGTAGGGTAACCGTAAACATAACCCATACTAGGGGACTCATAACTGGATTTTAATGCTTTGGAGCCTAGGGTACTTATTGGGCTTTCAGGGCTTAGGGCTTTGGGGTGTAGGGGTTTTGGGTTGTAGGGCTTGATTCTAACGTTTTGGAGCGTACTGTAAGATTCGGGTACTGCAAGGGCTGATAAAGGGGGCCCTAAACCCTAAACCCTAGGACTATAAGGGTTTCAGAGCTCAGGGTTCTATAAAGGTCCCTTGCGGGTTGAGGGTTGTTTAGGGTTCGGGGCTTTCAGAACTTCGGGTACTGTTAGGGTTTAGGGTTTAGCGTTTCTATTCGGGTTCTATAAGGGCACTACCAGAGCGAGTTTCTATAAGCGTACTACCATTGCACTGTAGGTTTTAGGGCTTACCGCTTCAGGGCTTTGCGGCTTGAGGGTTTAAGCTAACACCCACAGTTCAACCCTGAGCACCCAGGGGGCGGTACAGGGTTTAGGGTTTAGGGTTTAGGGTTTAGGGTTTGGGTTTAGGGTTTAGGGTTTAGGGTTTAGGGCGCCAAACATCATATTGGGTTTAGGGACCCGTGGACATGATCTTAAACCTCTTCGCACTGTTTCTGAAGGCCCTGGCCCAGGATCTCATGAACCGTCCGAGATCTGTCGGAAATCCGGTCCAAGTTTAGGCGTTACGTTGTCGGGTTTAAGGATCAGGGTTTCAGGTGTAGGGTTTAGGAAAAGAAAAAACCAATTAAATCTGAAGAGCCCCCTAAACCCTAAACCCTAAACCCTAAACCGTCCCACTCCTAAACTTCAACCTTCAACTCCTCAACTGTTGAACTCCTACACCTTAAATCCTTGTAATAGCCCTGATAGCAACCGTCATAGCAACTATAGACCTTAAAGGTAGCCTTGATAGCAACCCTTATAGTAACTATAGATCCTTATAGTAGCCTTTATAGCAACCCGTGTAGTATGTATGGTAATCCTCAGAGGACCGCACCGAAACCGCTATGAACATTCGCAGGCTTGCCTGGTGAGTCATCTCGCATGTCTCGGCCACATCATCCCAGACGGGCCTCAACCATCGCAAGGGCAAGATCTCTGCAACGTTGCAAAATCAACTTTGGGTTAACTTGAGGGTTTTACTAGGGTTTAGGGTTTAGGGTAACTGGAAGGCTGAATAAGATTGCCACGCAATTTTGCAATTTTGGTCTCGCCTACTAGTTTACCTTTTAGACCAAGATTGCGACCAAGATTGCCAAGCAATCTTGCCATCTTGGTCTCCAAAAAGTAAACGAGTCAGCCAGCAAGTGGGGCAGGGACAAGATGACCAAGATTGCTTAGGAATCTTGCTCCCCCGCGCCTGACCAAGATGACCAAGATTGCCAAGAGAGGTTCCGCAAAAAAATACATGTTCTGAATTCCCGGCATCATCTAATAGCAATATACACCAAGATGACTGAGAATTCTTTCCGGTGTGTGTGGCTTCAGACACGTGGCGCAGATGAGGCGACGAAGGCTAACGAAGTGCATCCGTGGCTTGAGGTTTAGGTTTGCCGGTTTAAGGTTGAGGGTTGCGGAGTTGGTTTTTCTGCTTGCTGGGGTCTGTAAGGCTTGCGTAAGGCTCAAGGTTTGTCCATGCTGGGGCGGGGGGGGGGGGGGGGGNNGGGGGGGGGGGTTCTGTGCCTTTTTTTTGTTTCTTCTTCTTTTGAGTGGGGGAGAGGTGATGACGTCCTGTTTTTCAAGATACACTAAGATGAGTCTCTTAGGCAGGAAGTAGTTTATTGAAAGCTGTCGCACGAAACGGGCCGCAACATAGGATTGAGAATCCTCTGAGGCAACCCGTCGTGTGACATGCCTTATCACATCATCACATGTCTTTTCATGTCAGGATCTATCACATCATATCATGTCATGTCATCTCCTATCGTGTCACAAGACGGGTTGTTTCAGTAGATTCTCAATCCTATATTAACCCCTGTTTCGTGTGAGAGGCGTGGTACTTCCGGTACGTTCGCCAGCGCTACTTTCAATCTACTACTTCCCGCATAACAAGCACACAAGGGTCTAGAATCCACAACACCGTCTAGAATCCACAACACCGACACAAGAAGTGCAGAAACCCTGCGTGTTCCAACATTTCTATTAAAAAAAGGCAATTTTCAAAAATGAGGCATTGATGCACACGAAACCTCGGCATACGTGGTGCAAACCGAACTACCCTCATAATCTCAGGGCTCAGTAATCCCCCCCCCCCGGGGTTTATGCTGGTAATGGATCACTATCCTTTGTGCGATTGCTGTTCCTTCTTGCTTCAACAACGGCACTGAGACACCAATGACAGCAACGATAGCAAGATCCCGAAATGCTGTTCGCCAGTCGAATTCGAACATCACCTCCACCGTCGCCACCACCGCCGCAGCCGCCAAGACTACGGCAACCAGGGATAAGACCAAGACAAAACCGAAGACGAAGGCGACGGTTTAGGGTCTAGGGTTTAGGGTTTTAGGGTTTCGGGTGGCCAAGAAGCGAAGACGAATATGACGGCGACGACAACCGAGACGAATGAAGACGAGAACGACAGACACAAAACGTGACGCCTGCAAAGAATGCAAGCACAAAGACCCCGAAGAAGGCAGCAACCATCACCGCGGTGGTGTATCGCTGTTGGTACTGTTTGCTCGATAAGTCCTGTAGACTCTCATTAACAACAGTGCCTTGGGCTCGCGCAATGACAAGAAAAAAACTTGGTTGCCCGGGAACAGCCTATATTGAGATCATGGGCACTGGAAACGCCAAACCCGAAACCCCAAACCCTAGACCCTAAACCCTAAAGGAGAAGCCAGAAAGCTGGGAACATCGTTATCCTCATGCCCTTAAGGTAATGCATATTAGGGAATCCTAGCACTACTCATCCCTCATCCATGTTCCAGCTTTTTAGGCTTCTCTATAAACCCTAAACCCTACATCCACCCGGGTATGGAGATCTTGGGCCCTAAACCCTAAACCCTAAACCCTAATCCTAAACCCTAAACCCTGAACCCTAAACCCTAAACCCCAAAGGAGATCTTGGGGTCCTGGCACATAGGACTCGAAGACGGGCCTGAGGGACGGAACCAGGCACTAGGGCCCCAAAAAAGCACATAAGCAAAAATTAGGATACGGATATCCCATATAAATCCCCTTATACTGAAGCCCAATAAGGTAGGGATATCCCTATAAAATGCTTATGCTTATGTCCTGTTGGGGTCCTAAGGCGCGGAAGCTTCGGTTCCGAGCTGCGGGCTGGGACGTTCGAGCCTAACATAGGGTTTAGGGTTTAGGGTTTAGGGTTTAGGGTTTAGGGTTTAGGGTTTAAGGTTTAGGGTTTAGGGTTTAGGGTTTAGGGTGCAGGGTTTAGGGACTACAGGGGCCGCAATAATTGGAATAGGGTTTTCGGGTATATGATACTACATTTATGATAAGAAACCCCCCAAATAGCATAAGCAATTAATTTGGCTTCTATGTTAGGACCATTGGGCTTGGGGTGTCGGGTTTAGGGCTTAGTAGGGCCAGGTGGGGTTCAGGGCGTAGTGGGGTTTGGGGCGTAGTATACTAGAGTAGAGCGCTATGACTATGAAGGGATGAAGGGGATACGACTGCACTAATCTGGGGGCCTAGCTGTCAAGCGACTCTCGGGTGGTTCCGACTTTTAGGGTTTAGGGGGGACTCCCCGATTTAGGGTCTAGGGTTTAGGGTTCAGGGTTTAGGATTTAGGGTTCCGGGTTTCGGGTTTCGGGATTAGGGCAACCCTAAACCCTAAACTCTAAACCCTAAACCCAGGGATTAGGGTTTAGGGTTTAGGGTTTAGGAACCCTGAACCCTGATCTCTGGACACCTCGACGGGCCTCCTCCGTTCAAACCCGCAGAGCTCTTCAGACCCTGAGCCCTGAAACCTGAAACCCTGAAACTCCAAACAAACCCTTCCTCTAAACCCCTAAGCCCCTCAGGGTTCAGGGTTTAGGGTTTAGGGTTTAAGGTTTAGGGTTTCCCTAAACCCCTGACGCCCTAAGCCCCTAAACCCTAAATACCCCTAAACCTCTAACACCAAAAACCCTAAACCCTAAATACCCCTAAACCCTAACCCTAAAAACCCTAAACTCTAAATACCCCTAAACCCTAAACCCTAAATACCCCTAAACTCCCTAAGCCCTTACACCCTAGATCCGAAAGCCTCAAAGCCTTAAAACCCTCTATCCCTAGACCCTAAACCCTAAACCCTAGACCCTAGACCCTAAAGCCTAAACCCTAAACCCCTAAAGCCTACATCCTTAACCCCTAAACCCTAAACCCTAAACCCCGCAGCAACACAAGACGTCCGTCTGGGGAAAGCAAGACCTGACTGATGTCCTGCTGAGGACCACAGTTGGCACGGCGGAGACGCCACCAGCAGGTGAGGCGAAGCCGTGCTCGAAATCAGCATCTGCCAAGTTGGCCTCTGTGTGCACGAGCTGTGTTGTGCTGTCCTGATTCCACGATGCACGCAAGCTCGACTTGCCGCAAGAAGGCCGCCGCAAGCCGCGGGTCGGCCTTTGCTTGAGCGCGCGGGCGCGTCAGCACGGAAGCCTGCGATAAGGGTCTCGTCGCTAATCACCCCATGGGCTTCCACGCCTCTGCAGGATGACACCGGGACTTGAGCCAAAGCCCAGACCCTTCCTCTAAACCCCGAAACCCCTAAACCCATAAACCCCTAAGCACCCCTAAACCCCAAACCCCTAAACTCCCTAAACCCTTACACCCTAGATCCGAAAGCCTCAGGGCCTTAAAACCCTCTATCCCCAGAGCCTAAACCTCTAAACCTCTAAACCC